CCCCTGCATAACAACACAGACCGACCGACCTAAGCAGAACACTGTCACCCAGCAACCCAGCAACCCGGGACACCCACCACCATCCCTCCTTCTGCCCATGCCCATGCCCATGCCCATGCCCATGCCCATGCCCATGACCATGCATGCCATCGCGCGAAGATCCACCCACCGATCCCATCGCAGCTACCGGTATCCGCGCATTGGAAAAGCCGCACCGTCCTGAGCTAGACATCTCCCAACTCCCACAATCCAGATGATACGGATCCAGTCCATGACTGCGCTGGGTTAAAGCACCGAGTGGAAAACTGTTGGACCGACTTTTGGATCGACGGGTACGGCGGCACGGCACTCTGAGGTGCCTAGGTAGGTATAGGTAGGTAGATAGATGTTAGTTGCAAGTCCGCGCGCGGGCTGCTGGCTGCTCGGTTACCGGTACTACGGACTGTGGATGACCGACCGGTAGGTAGGTACCTGGCTCGAGCGGAGCGGTGCGGTGCGGTGCGGTCACCATGCTACGTACCGTAGTACAGTCAAGGCTAGGTACCTAGGTACCTCAACAAGGGATGCTGATGCTGATGCTGATGCTTCCCGTAGAACAGCCGGCTGATCGTCCGACGGCGATCGCTCTTAAGTACCTACCTACCTACAGTAGAGACGGTCCTACTTAGCTGTGCTGTCAGAGGTTGGTTAGCATACCGGTAGCTGGTGAATCAATCACTCACTCACTCACTTACTCACTCAACCAGCCTGCCGAGGTTTGGTTGTCGGTTGGGTAGCGTGAGGGTGAAGGTCGGCGGCACCACCGTTAAGTAAGGCGCGACAGTCCGGTGTGTCTTTACTTCTAGTGTAGTGTAGTATAGTAGTATATAAGAGATAGCAAATCAACCAAACCACCCACGACATCGTAATCATCGCTGCGTGAGGAGATGCGCACGTTTTAAATCATCCATTACCGTACCGGTACCGGTATCAACCAACTGACCCGTGCGCTGAGAGCGGCCCTCGCTTACCTACGGTCCTCGGCGGGCGTACCTACCTACTGGTACTGGTACTGTAGGGCTCAAAACTCCAACCTCATCAATGAAGAAGATTGCTCGATTACCCACTCTCGTCCTCGAGCCCTCGCTCACCACCACCCTGGATCACCACCGTCTGTGCAGCTTAACGACGGCCTTAGCATGAGTCAAATCAAGACGGAAAGAAAGAAAGAAAGAAAGAAGAAAAATCACGGTTATAAATAGCGGTAACGATAATGATATGATTGATATTTTTAAGTACTGTGTCCCTACGTATGCAACGTATGCGTATCGTACAGTAGATGTTTACACGTGCCGTGTGGGTAGCGGTACCGGTACCGGTACTAGAATAAGGGAGGATCGACGCGACCCGAACGAGGATATTACCTACCTAACACCAACATCACCCTCCTCGATTACGATCCGGAGCTTTGAGTTGGTCATGTACCGGTACACCTCCCTCCCTCAATCCCTCTCAGCATCCGGGCAGCGGCCGTACTCCGCCAGGTTCCGCAGCCCGTCGAAGCCATCCTCCAGCGACGACGAGAAGGCCTGCAGGTCGCACACCAGGTTCTCCGCCTCCTTGTTCGTCCAGCGGCCCAGCTCCGTCGCGAGAGCTTCCACCACCACCCGGAACGTCGCCGCCCGCGTCATCCTCCACGGCGACCTCCGGGTCCCGGGGCCCGTCGACGGGGATGGCACCGGCGTCCATCGGGAGGCCCGCCTGCCACCCGGCCCATCCCAGAGCCCACGCGCTTGCGGCTCTCGATGTCGCCGGCTGTGGCTCCGGGCCCCGGGGCCGGCGTGTTCCGCATGTGGTCGAGGTGTCCGCTGATGGATGGAGTCGCGGCCGCATGGTGCCGCCTCGTTGTACTTATTTGGCCTGGGTCCAGGGCATCGCCGTCGGATTCGGCCCGTGTTCCGCGGGGCGCTGGGGTGCTCTGCCATGGTGCAGGCGAGAGATTCTGATCCTGCGTCTGTTGTCCGCTTGTATGTCTTAAGGTCTACCGTGATGCCGTAGTACGTGGAGACGGATGCATTGGCATGAAGCGGAAAGGTCCAGCTCATGTACTTACTACGCACGAGACGAGGGGATTCCTCCGTTAAGGCCGCTGCAGATGTCTTGCTCTCATCCCACTCGCTGGATCATGCTGGCTGTGTGGAGAAAGACCAGCCCTTTATAGTCTCGAAGCGAAGACCACGATGGAAACTCAACTACTCTTTCAGGTCTGGACACAGTCCTTTCCGCGGGCTATGTCGCGAACCAGCTGGAAAATCCTCTCACTGCTGTAGTAACCGAAACCTCAGACTCCTTTGCCAGGCTCTCTACAGATCTGGCCTCCGGGTAGAAACTTCTCCTCTTCCAGAGAAGAACTGCTGTCCGTTTAATATTCTCGTACCGAGTCCCGTCCTAACGTCATGAGATTGGCTCAACCCATCGATTACACTGCCGTAATCCACCTGGAACGGCAGGCTCTCCAATCCTTTAGTTCTCGATCCTTTAGTTCTCGATCCTTGAGTATCCTCCTAATGCCTCCACAAATTCATGCTTCATAGGCTTCGAAGCATCTACATCTACCTCAGGGTCTTCGATGCATTCGGTGCCAAGCTTTCTGTCGTCCATATGGCTCGCAACAACGGCTCAGTGCATCGGCGAAGACCGAGAAGTTGATTCATCCGATGCTCGATCGGTGCTCTCGCACGTTGCGGAGCAGCATCATGGTAAGTCTGTTGGCCTTCAATCTTGGCGGCAAGGCCTTGGGGGGGGGGGGGTTGAATAATGGGCTAGAAGAGCAGAAGAACCATTCGATAAGTAAACCTCCAGTCCCTTTCCCAGCAGAATATTCCGGAAGATGGGGACCGATGGCGGTAATGGGACTTGGAAGCAAACAATCGGAGGTTCAGGGGAAGCGATTCACGTGATTTTTGATTTTTTTTTTTACCACTCCTTTGTGTTCGAGTCTGGCTCTTGAGCCGAGTCGATAGGAAGTACACGGTGCGCGATTTTACGGCTTCGGCGTGTTGCTGAGGGTGGCATGCAATGCGACTCTACTTGCGCTTCTTGATTCGCCGTCGATAGTTGAGGACGTGAGACGTATCCGTGCAGCTAGCTGCATTACGCAGAGGCGATTGTTGGGTTCCTGCAGTTCGGGGGTCCGTCCGATTTCGAAGCCCGGAAGATCAGACCACCAGGACGGTGGATTCAGCTGGTATCTCGTATTTTGCTCTGTCCCATTCTTCTTCTTTTCATTCCTTGTATTTATCTTTAACCTCTCCCTTGTGCCTTTCTACATGTCCTCGGAATTGTCCCACCAGCGTATCTCTCCCCCTACAGGGCTGATGCAGCATTCGATCGTCCTGTTTGACTCGTCGATTTTATCCTGGTACCTGCGTTTCTATATTGCAGCCTCTTCATTTTCTTCCCGTCTTCTAGGCTCGTGTCCGGAGCCCATTCGCACACGTTGCCCCTGCCAAGCTTGGTCCTGCATCTTGATTCCATGCTTCGGTCTCCGAATAGCGTTCACTCCGGGAGCGAATCCCGTGCCGCTGGGTGTGCCGTGGTCATCCGTGGTCAGACTCGCGGTCCAGGCTCGCTGGCAGCGACCTGGACTATGGTGGCTCGGGTCGGATCCTGTAGCCAACCACGGTTTCTACAGGCACTGTAATTTCCACCGTCACATCTGATCTTTCACAACATCATGGAAAGATCCAATAGGAAAGCTATCCATCGCTACGATCTTCTGTCGCCACCTGCTCTTAGCGTGCAGCCTTACGATTTTCTTCGGGTTTCAAGAAAAAGCCTCAGTTCCGCCGCACGTCAAATACTCTGGATGGTCCCGAGAGAAATGGGCACGGCTACAATCGCATTCCAAAATGACTGCCTTCCAAGCTCTCTTTGCGTTGATCGTAACAAGGCTCCTCATCTTGCAAGTGTCTGCCGCGCATCTTCGTCACCACCACCCCCACCATCATGAGATGAACTCAACCTCGACGATTGAGGCTCGCTACACGCTTCCCTATCCATACAACCCTCTCAGCCAGCTTAAGCGAGGCCTCCCCTTCAACAATCCCCCGAAATATATTCAGAACTTCAAGGGCGCCAACAGCAAAGTATCATGGGCATACAGCTGGGACAGTTACATGGATCCTGCCTTCCCGCAGAATATCGAGTTCGTGCCCATGCTTTGGGGAGATGGAGTTGACCACACGGGAAATGTAGAGCGCCAAGCCCTGTACCATTAGAGATACGGGCAATGCTGACTTGTGGTAGTGGTTCAAGAATGTCGACAATGCTCTCAGTCGCGGTTCACGCCACATCGTCGCCTTCAACGAGCCCGATGGATGCAGCGGGGGCGGATCCTGCATGTCGCCTCAACAAGCAGTCAACGCCTACCGCACATACATCCAGCCTTTCAAAGGAAGAGCCTATCTCGGCGCACCAGCCGTCACCAACGGCCCCGCCGGTCTGCCGTGGCTCCAGGAGTTCCTCCGGCTCTGCACAGGCTGCCACGTCGATTTCCTCCCGGTTCACTGGTATGACAGTGCAAGCAACGACGCCTGGTTCAAGTTGTACATGTCACAGGCGTATGCCGCGACTGGAAGTCTCCAGCTCCGGCTCTGGATCACCGAGGTGGGTTTTGTTGTTGGCGGCCCCAGTTTTTTACGCGAGCCCGCGCAGGGGCTAACCGAGCGGGTGGTACTGTAGTTCAACGGCTCTGGCTCGGAGGCGGAGAAGACGGATTTCCTCCGCCGCATCATGCCGTGGATAGACGCCCAGAGCTATATCGCGAGGTACTCGTGGTTCTGGTGCGATCCTCAATCGACAATGGGGCCGCTGGTCCAGGCGGACGGCGCTCCGACCGGAATCGGCAATGTCTACACATACTCCTGACGGGCCGAAATCTGCGCATCGCTCTTATGAACTGACGAAATGATGAATTGTTCCGTAGACAGAATCGTGTTATCGGCGCTGAGATGGGGTCGAGCTCGGATCCATCGGTTTTTTCTGTGCGGGCTGGGTGAACGAACGGCGGTTGGCAGATGCTTTCTTCGACACCCTTTACTTTCTTCAGCGAGGCGCCTTGCCCTCGTCTCTCAGACTGTCACAGCCCGTTCCGAGTTTGTTCTTACCACGTTCAATGCCTTTTCAAACCCGATTGCTTTGTAGACCATACCTTGTTCACCATCTATCTCTTCTATGACCCTACATGACCCACTCTCCCCCCTCCATCCTCCCTCCTCTCTTTTATGTTACTCCTTGGACACTGCGGCAGAAGACAGACAGAAATCACATACCATTCAATACCATCATTTTGCAATTTCAACAGGGCACGTGCCGCCGCATGAGAGAGAGAGAGGAGGGGGGGGGGGGTTTCGCTACCGGCGAACCAACACACGTCCGCACGAAGAAGAGTAGCAGTACTTGACTTGACTTGACTTAACTTGACTTAAGGAGCTGAGTAAAACCGAAAACCTCTCCCCGAAGAAGAAGAAGGAAATTTCCCAACTCAAAGCTACCAAGTCCAAAGAAACCCCCCCCCCCCCCCCCCCCGAAGGCCTCTCCGACCTCCGAAGCTTCTTTGTTCCCGAAACTCAATCTTCTCAAGAAATCCCCAGCGCTCTCTAGAGAAGGAAAAGCGCGCCCCAAGGCCATCATCATCATCATCATCATCATCGCCGCCGCGTCGAACTCGCAGGCATCCCTCGCCCTCTGTCCGTGCAAGTCCCCCCCACCCCTCCGAAGCAGCGTCCCCCGAAAAGAGGCGTCTGCGACTTCTCTCTCGTGGTCAGGACGAGGTCTGTACGAGCACATGCAAAGACCCCTCCCTACCTCTGCTGATTCCTCCGTTTTTCCAGCCTTCGCAGAGCTGGGAACCCCTGTGTGAGGGCAGCACTTGTTCGAGAGGGGGGGAGTAATCGCCTGCTGTGAATCGATTTTTCTCGACACTCGCTCGTTGGCAGCGACTCTCAAGGCCGTTCCGGGAGACCTGGATCTCATCTTGGGGGTTTGGCTAAGATGCATAGTACTCGGAGACGGACTGATCCAGGTGCAGATCAAAACTGACGGGGTGTAGACATACTGGCGCGGATAAGAAGCCATCGCGGCACGGAAGGACGTGGAGCGAAAAAGTCACAATGGGTTCAGACCAGAGTGCAAGTATGAATGCGCTCGAAGGCGCGAGATTCACGTTCGAGCGACAGCGTCACACTTCCATGGCTGTCTCTACCAAACGCGATTTTGTGAATCACCACCACCCAAGAGATAGATCCTTGACGCAAGAACTCAGCAAACCGAACATCTGAGCCGTCCCGCCCATTGCAAAAGAGATAAAACATTTTTTTCTTTTAAAATAAAAGCAATAGCTCTTCCCAGACACACACACACACACACACACACACACACACACACCGCAACGCAACGCAACGCAAGCGCTCCGCGAGTCCACAGAATGTCGAACGACCAGCCCCAAGACCGCACCCGAGGCCAGCGCGCCAGCCTCGCGACGCCACCGCAGGAATCCCCGCCGGAG